AAGAAAATTTGCAAACCATGTTCTTCATTGTTGCCTTTTATAGGAAAATATGAAGCTCTGTGAGGAAGAAGACTTGATTTGAATCCATAGCTGGGCCGTTCTGATGCTGAGGATTCCGATGGCAAAACATCTCGGTGAAATAGCTGGGAGTTGCGGAAGAGTTCCTGACTGGGTGGAGAACAGCTTCTTTAATTTAGATTTTGCTTTACATTTGCATGTTCATACAATAATTTTGAAATCTTTGTCATTTGTTGGATATTTTCCTTTAAGTAATCTTGTGTCCATTAAGTAATCTTGTATAAAAAGGATGTAAACTCTTTCTCACGTTCTCTCAGTCTTCTTTTGTTGACTAAGATAGGACCATACCACCTTGGGCTGGACCATTCCAGGTAGTACTGGGCATTCATTCAGCTGATTTATTAAAATATGAAAGTTCTTATTAGGGCAAAGCCATGCAGGCTCATTATCGGAAAAATGAAAAAATACAAACAATAAAAAAAGAATAAAAACAAAAAGTCCCTTCTCTCCATCCCATCTATCCATTCTTGAACATTCCATCGTATAACTTTCAAAATCTCTTTGAGTCTGCCTTCACACACACAAGTGCATGTGCACACGTAGGCACACATTCATATGTACGTTTTATATTTAAGATATATTTCGGTTCTGCAAAATTCTTTTAAAATAACAGTCACTTTAAGATATAAATCACGTACCCTAAATTCACTTTTAAAGTGCACAATTCAGTGTTTTTTAGCATATTCACAGGGTTGTACATCCATTAGCACTATCTAATTCCAGAATATTTTTATCATTGCAAAAGGAAATCTCCTATCTGTTAGCAGTTACTCCCATACAGTATGTAGATTTTCATGTCCGGCTTCTTTCACTTAGTGTAATGTTTTCAAGGTTCACCTATGTTATAGTATATATTGGAACTTCATTCATTTTTATGACAGAATCATATTCCAATGTATGGATAAACCACATTCTGTTAATTCATTCATCAGTTGGTGAACATTCTGTTGTTTTCACTTTTGGGCCATTATAAATGCTGCTATGGACATCAATGTACAAGTTTTTGTGTGGATGCTCCATTCTCTTGAGTAGATAATTAGGACTGGAACTGATAGGTCACATGGTAACATCATGTTTAAATTTTTGAGGAACTACCGAAGCGTTTTCTAAAGTGTCTACACCATGTTACATCTCCCCAATGTATGAGGGTTCCATGTTCTCCATAGTTTCACCAACACTTCTTATTTGTCTTTTTGATGACAGTCATCCTAGTGGGTGTGAAGTGCTCATTGTGGTTTTGATTTGCATTTCTTTGATGACTAGTGAGGTTGAGCATCTTTCCATGTGCTTATTGACCAATTTTTATATCTTCTTTGAAGAAATCTCTATTCAAAAAATCTTTTTCAGTCATCTGGTTCTTTAAATGGCTTAGTAGAGTACTTTAGTCTAGATAAGACTCTCTAATCAGATATATAATTTTGCAAATATTTTCTTCCACCTTTGGGTTGTCTCTACACCTTTTTTGATGGTGTTCTTTGAAGTACAAAAGTTTTTTTTTTTTAAGATTTTATTTATTTATTTGACAGATAGAGATCACAAGTAGGCAGAGAGGCAGGCAGAGAGAGAGAGAGAGAGAGAGGAGGAAGCAGGCTCCCTGCTGAGCAGAGATGTGTGATGTGATGTGGGGCTGGATCCCAGGAGGCCCAGACCATGACCCAAGCCGAAGGCAGAGGCTTTAACCCACGGAGCCACCCAGGTGCTCTGAAGTACAAAAGTTTTAAAATTTGATGAGGTTCATTTAATTTTTTCTTTTGTTGCATGTGCTTTCAATTTCATATCTAAGAAACCATTATCTAATCCAAAACCACAAGGATTTACTCTTACGTTTTTGTCTAAGAGTTTTACAGTGTTAGCTCTTACATTTAGGTCTTTGATCCATTTTGAGTTCATTTTTGTATATGGTGTGAGGTAGGCATCCAACTTGATTCATTTGTCTGTAGATAGCCAGCTGTCCTAGCACCATTTATCAAAAAAAGATTACTTTTTCCCCACTGAATGGTCTTGGCATTGTAAAAATGGTGCAAATTGAGTGGCCAGAAATATAAAGGTTTATTTCTGGACTCCCACTTCCATTCCATTGATCTATACACTTATCCTTATGCCAGTACCACACTCTCTTGATTACTGTAAGTTTGTGTTAAGTTTTGAAATAGAGAAAGTGTGAGTCCTCCAATTTTGTTCATCTTTTTCAAGATTGTTTTGGCTATTCTGGGTTCTTCACATTTCCACATGAATTTTAAGATCACTTTGTCAATATGATCTGCAAAAATAGTGCCTGAGATTTTGGCAGGGATTGTGCTGACTCTATAGACTGCTTTAGGAAATACTGCCGTCTTAACCGTATTGTCTCTCAATCCATGCTACATATGATGTATTTCCATTTCTTTAGATCTTAACTTCTTTCAAAGATGTTTTTTAGTTTTCATTGTACAGGTCTTGCACTTCTTTTGTTAAATTTATTTCTAAGAATACTATTCTTTCTGATTCTATAGTAAATGGAATTCCTCTCAATTTCATTTTTGGATTGCTCCTGGCTAGTGTTTAGAAATACAATTGATTCTTATACATGTATTATTTTGTATTTTTTTTCCTGTTAAAATATTGTGAACATCTTTCTATGTCAGAAAATATAGTTCTGGGGCACCTGGGTGGCTCAGTGGGTTGGGCCTCTGCCTTCGGCTCAGGTCATGATCCCAGAGTCCTGGGATCGAGCCCCGCATCGGGGTCTCTGCTCGGCGGAGAGCCTGCTTCCTCCTCTTTCTCTGCCTGCCTCCCTGCCTACCTGTGATCTCTGTCTGTCAAACAAATAAATAAAACCTTTAAAAAAAAAAAAAAAAAAAAGAAAATATAGTTCTATGACATCATTTTAGTGACCCTGTAATATCACTTTAATATTTTATTTAATACAAAATACTTAATTAAAAGTCCACTTTAATATTTTATCTAACCAGCTCTTTACTATTAGACATTTCGGTTCTTTTTTTTTTTTTCAAGATTTTATTTATTTGACAGAGAGAGATCACAAGTAGGCAGAGATGCAGGCAGGGGGTGGCGGTGGGGGGGAGCAGGATGCCTGCTGAGCAGAAAGGCCCAATGTGGGGCTTGATCCCAGGACCCAGGGATCATGACCTGAGCCGAAGGCAGAGGCTTAACCCACTGAGCCACCCTGGCACTCTCATTTAGATTCTTTTAAATAAAAAAACAAAACAAAACAAAACAAAAAAAACCCAAAACCTAAAATAACTCTGATACACACTTGCCATTAAAGTTTTGCAAACTTTCTTAATTATTTCTTGGATATAAATGTGCATGGTGTTGTGTGGGCAAAATAGATTGCACATTGAAGTCATTCGCTAAGTGCTGCAAACACGCCCACCTGAAAAGTTTTGAAGTTTTTACTTCAACCAAGGCTGTGATAACTTGATTCCCTTAATTCTCTGCTTTATTGTTGTTGTTGTTGTTTTAAAAAAGCTTTCCAAGTTTGATAGGCCAAAGATGAGTTCCCTGGTACTTTGTTTGCATTGCATTGCAATTCCCAGGAAGGTCAAGAGTTTTTTCATATGTTTATTAGCTTAGAAAAGTTTTTTTCCTCCTGTTAATTATTTTAGGATTCTTAGCCTTGAGTATTCCACTGTTAATAGTTTCGTGAAAACAATTTATATATTAATTTATCCTATGTCCTTTATGGTAAACATTTTCTCCTCAGGTGTTTGCCATTTTTGTTTAATTGCGGTGCTTTTGGATGTACAAAACTTTTAGTTTCTCTGTCAACTTATCAATCTTTGTGGCTTCTCCTTTTGGTTACACTCACAAATTCCTTTCCCTCTCCTTTTATTTTTGAAGAACAGATAATTAAATAGGTACAGTCTTCTTTCTAGCAAATATCCCAGTATTTAATAAATACACTGGTCACTTCTACTCCTTTCAACTGTACCTTTTTTTTTTTTTTTTTTTTTTTTAATGGTTATCTCAATCTTTGCTCACGTAATGTTCTCAACCCTCCCTCTTTTTCCCTTCTCCTTCCTTCGGAGTAAGCCCACTTCCTCTCAGGCACTCGGGTCAGTCCTGGCCGGCAGCAGGGGCACTCTCCCTGAAGTGCTTAGAGCGCCTAAAACGGCTCGGTTTTGGGGAGACATTCTGCAAAGAAGACCCAATCTCGGCCCCGGTTTGGGCGTACCCTCTGCTCTGACGCCAGCTTGACAGCTCCAGAAATTCGCTCAATATCTCTCAGTTTATCTGTAAAATTTAGCAGATCGGGCATTTAAAGATTTCCCCCCAAGGTGTTTTGGCAGCTTGGCAAACGACAACCTGCGCTCTTGGCTGTCTTTTAAATGTGTCTGTTCCGCCCCTCCCCATTCCCCGTGAGCTCCTTCGGTCCCAGACTCCGAATGCGCTGTAGTGCCACAGATACTGTTGGCGCACAGTGTTTGAGAAATTGACGGGACTTGTCTTTTGACAACCGAGACGCCCGGGAAGCCACGAGGTCTTTGATGTAAGTTCTGCAGGCAGTGCCAATTTGTTCTGATGTCTCACCCAAACCTTCCCCTTTGTCCGAGGTCCGGGCTGGCTTTCACGACTGGTCTGAGACCGTGAGCAGCTGGAGAGGAGGAAGTTCTGATTTCTGCGCGGGGTGTGGGAAGGTGGGGCGGTCCCGGCCCCCGCCTCTACCGCCAGGGTGAGAGCTCGGGAACGCCTTTCGCTCTCCCCGCCCGCGAAGTTTGCAGGGCGCAGCGCGCTGCAGAGACCTGGTCGGCTGGCCTGAGGCTGGGCGCTGTCAGTTCCTGCTTCGTTGGGCGCCCGCTCCAGCCGCCGCAGGCTCCACACCAGAGAAGCCGACTGCACCGCGCGAGCTCCCCGCGCGTGGGGCGGGGGCGCGGATCAGCCGCCGCCCACACCCGGGGCTGAGCTCGCTCCTCCCGGGAGGATCACGCGCTGCAGGATGGCGGCGGCCGCGCGGGTTCCAGGCTGGGTATTGAGGCCGGTTCTGCTGCTCCTGCTGCTGCCGCCCGCCGTGAACCCCGCTCGGGAACCCCGGACCGCGGCCCGGCTCAGCCTGCACCCGCCCTACTTCAACCTGGCGGAGGCGGCGAGGATTTGGGCCACCGCCACCTGCGGAGAGCGGGAGCCCGGCGGCGCGCGGCCCGAGCTCTACTGCAAGTTGGTGGGGGGGCCCACCGCCGCGGTTAGCGGCCACACCATCCAGGTACGGTCCGGGGAGTGAATGAGGGCGGGCTGGCGAGGGGCGGGCCCCCTCTCCGCGCTGGCCTGCGGCCCTCAGCAGAAGGAGGGGTCTTTCCCCGCGCGCTAGCGATACCAGGAGACCGGAAGGGCTCCCCCGGCCCCACGCGGGCCGGCGACCCTGGGAGATGGGCTCGGTGCCCCGGAGCGATCCTGCGGGAGTTCCGCCCTTGCGGGTTCGCCGCGGGAGGCCGGGACCAGTAGATCACTCGAGGTAAGTGAAGGCTGAGGTTAAGTTTGCGGGCGCAGAGGTGAAAGTCACCAGATGCGCCTCGGGGTGCATGGAACTGTCGCCCCATCCTGCCTCCATCATTCAAGCAGCGCCCGGCCAGGCCATGAGTGCCCCCTCGGCTTCACTGGCGCGCCTCCTTCCAGGCACTTCTGTCTCCCCGACCTTATTGGGAGAAGTTGGTAGCAGTGGGTTTCCGTGACGGGTTTGGAGAGAACTTTTAGGTTGTATCGGTAGCACCCCTCCCTTCGGTGTCACGAAGATGCACCTCACCGCCCTTCCCGAAGCGTCCGCGTTCAGGTCACTGTGGCGAATGAGACTTGAACTGGACAGAGATGGACACCGCGCTCAGGGTCCATCAGACTCATCCCGCGAACACCTGGCGTAAATGATAAAGTTGCTGGTGCTTAATCAGCATCTGGGGTGTGCCAGTTCTTCACCCACGGACCCTCACAGCAGCGCAGGTAACCGGAGCGATTGGACAGGTTAAGAAACGTGCCTGAGTCTTAAAGGAAGGCAGCGGGATTTGAACCCAGTCCTGACTTGAAATCCTCTTTACGCTGAGCCATAATTCAGAATTGGCCCCCTCGTTCTACTGGGAAATATTGCTGAGGAATAGGAAGGTGCTGCCGGAAGAGGGAGTAATTTCGGAACTTGGGCTCCGCAAGCAAAAGATTACCATTGAGAATCTAGGTCAGGGTTTTAGAAACTCTTGGTTGCGCACTTCCATAAACGACGATAGCTGAACATGCAATGCCAATACGTGCTTATTTATTTATAAACTATATGCATGTATTGCTTTATTAATATACGGTGAGTACTAGAAGACAGGCAAGAATAGAAATGAAAAACTAAAATAACGATGATGAAAATACTTTTTAATTTCCTTTATTAACAGCGCCAAGTAAGTTTGCTTTCTTTAAATATTTAATTTCTTTTTTTTAAAGGCAGGTGGTAACTTTTTTTTTTGAGACTTTATTTTTTAATTTGACGGACAGAGATCACAAGTAGGCAGAGCAGCAAGGGTGTGGGGAGGAAGCAGGCTCCCCGCTGAGCAGAGAGCCCATGCGGGGCTCCATCCCAGAACCCTGGGATCATGACCTGAGCTGAAGGCACAGGCTTTAACCCACGGAGCCACCCAGTTGCCCCTAAATATTTAATTTCTGATTGTAACCATTTGTAAATATACAAATGTGATTATGTATATCATTTTTGACAAAGTTAGTTTAGCACTTATGATCTGTCAATTCAAGGTTGGTTTTACATTGATAGTTGAAATTAATAGTTGTCACAGCTGAAAAGATAGCTCAAAAATCTGTAGATTCAAGAAGGACCTCTGCACTGACCACTGAGTTCCAGAACAATTCACAGAGCCTGGGGCAAAATGAAAATGTGAGCCCCTTGTTCAAATATTATGAATTTCAAGATGGTGATAGCAGAGCCTCAAATTAAGTGAGGGGGCCTTTGGGAGCATGGAATTCTGTGTAACTGGGCAGGTCTGATACTGTCTGAATTCTCGAAATCATAGTACTCATATTTCTGCCCATCCTTCAATTATTCTAAAAATTTTTTAAAGTAGACACTTGGCCAGTCAATGTTTGCTTTACAGGTGGCATTCAGTACTTCCTGGTAGGAAGGTGTTATGTTTTAAGGGTTTAAAAAAAATAGATTCAAAACTCACTGCAAGTAGTTTTTTGGAAAATATTAAAATACATTACAAAATTCTGTGTCCAGGCTTTTAAACTGTGCAAATAGGAGAACTTTTAGGGTACCCCAGTTCTGTCTTTTGAACAACAGAAATATGAAACATTTCCAAACATCTATTTTCCAAAACACTCTTTTCAAAATGTACATTTCTTTAGAATCTTATTTGCTTTTTCACACACTGTTGACACAACACCTTTACTTTCATAGGTACCTCTATTTTTTTTGTAAATATGTATCAGGTAGTATATTACTGGCAGTTCCTTGTCATCCCAGAAAGAGCAAATCTGGAATTTTTTGTGGAAAAAAAAAGTGTGACTCAACTTTAAGTTTCAAAGTTTTAAATACTTTACCATGAGATAAACAGTGAATGTGTGTCATTGAAAGAATTTCTTTGTCACTCCTCATTTTAGTACAAGGTTGGAACTGTTCTGCTGTCTAGGAGAATAGAACCCACGTGTCTACTTAACCAGGCCCACGTAAGCTGCGGTGTGTCATGGTCAGATGAGAGCCTGGTGCAACCCCTCCTCCTCTACCCTTGGGCAGACAGACACTCAGGACCATTGTGACCGGCTGACTCATGGATGGGGTAAAGGCCCTAAGCAGAGTGCACACTAAATATTAGTCAAACTGAATTTCTTCATTTTTAAATAAAAAAACACATTTTGATATTCCCTTCTGGCACCCCACTGGATTGCCTGGCACACCCAGCTTTTTAGAGAGCTGTTCTGACTATGGGAAGAGGAAGTGCAAGGGGAAGAAATTTTCAAATATCTCCTCTCCCCGAGATTTGCCTGGGAATGGGCCAACCTTCACTGTCTTCATCTGGCATTTTCTTTTGAACGCTCATAGGTTGATACTATGGTCTTGGAGGTCCAGAAAAGTCATATTTTCTGTGCTGATTGAGTTTCCAGGATAGGTCCTTAAACTTTGGTGCACAGTCCTAGATAGAGAAGGAAGTGGCTTTTCTGAGATCATTCAGCAGACTGTGTTTCTAGGCCAAGCTATAGCCTTTGGAAAAAGGATGCTATCCGGTGTTATACTGTGTTCTTTCCGAAAAATAAGGGGCGAACAAGAGTGCTGCTGAATAGTGCTTTCTGCTTTCACAGCTGAGGGCTTGAGAAGATGTACTGATTGCTGACGTGAGAAGCTCTTATCTAATGAGGACAGAACTGTGTTGGAGACAAGACAGGGAAGGGGAGTTCTAGAAGCTGGGCTCTCAGATGCTTGCTCTAGCCCCATGTTGGCAGCCGCAGGTGCAGACCTACCTTTCTGGATACCAAGGGGTGATGGGACTTGGAAGGGTGGGAGATTATGACTGATCAGTTGGTTGTACCTGAATGATGATTATCTTGAATGTGTTTATGCTCAAGATGGGAAATGGAGAAGAGTAACTAAAATAGTTCTGTTACTTGAGCTTTCTAAAAATAAATCTTTAGGGCCAGCCAGGATTTAGAATTTCAGGCCAGAAGGATTTTGCAAAAAATGTAAAAAAAAAAAAAAAATTATGTCTTAGAATAAAGCCTGGGTTTATGGTCCTGATTCTATAATAATCCTGATTCTTTAATGGTAGCATGTGCCTACAGGCAGGACATTTTAAAAGTCTGAATTTTGTTTATTGTGTGAAAAATGCTCACTGTGGTTTCTCTGGATTTAAAACTCATTAAATAAGATTTTATATACTTGTTACTGCTTAGACATTAAGTTTTTGATGTTTGAGAGGTCTTTGATTCAGGGATTTTGTCTGTCTGGTTCATAGTTGTGTCCTGTGTGTAGCACAAAGCCTGGAACAGTATGTGTGCTCAGAAAATACTAAAGGAAAAGATAGTGGAATGAAGACACAGCTAAGGGCTATAAAGAAGTCAGTGTAAAGAATAGACAAGAAAAATGCACAAATTAATTCTATTCTGCTAAGAAGTTAACTACCACTGACATCTATCACATTTTATGCTTCGATTTTAAATGTTTCCTTACCTATGGAATAAAAAAAATCATTATTTACCGACATCTGATAGAGATGATGATAAAATATAAGTGGAAGGCTGTATTGAAAATGTAACCTTGGGGGCACCTGGGTGGCTCAGTGGGTTAAAGCCTCTGCCTTCGGCTCAGGTCATGGTCCCAGGGTCCTGGGATCAAGCCCCGCATCGAGCCCCTCATCGGGCTCTCTGCTCGGCAGGGAGCCTGCTTCCTCCTCTCTCTCTGCCTGCCTCTCTGCCTACTTGTGATCTCTGTCTGTCAAATAAATAAATAAAATCTTTAAAAAAAAAAAAAAGAAAAATGTAACCTTGTGTTTGGTTTAGCTCGGCATAAACATGACACTCACAAAGAATGAAATGAACATATTTACCACACATGTGATGTTGATTTTGTACATTGACAGTTCAACATGTCTTCCGTTATATTCCTTCATTACATTATAATTTATGCACAGGAATGTGTATCTAGCCTGAATGACAGTGGTAGAGAAGTGCCCACATGTCAGTTACAGCCAAGAGCAAGAATGCTTGTCACAAAGCTGTCTGGGTTGTGTGTTTGTGTGACTTGGACTAAGGGCCATAAACAGGAAACTCATTTCACTAAGGCTGTTTATAGAACCATTGTGAAAGAGAAATCATTTGTTGGCTTCAACAAGGGACTTTTCCTTTGTGAAACTGATAGGAAAGTGTTGGGCAAGGGCTGAGAAATCAAAGATATTTACTATTCCATTGATATATTTGTAACAATTTTTAGCGGTGAGTTATTTTAAGACTTCAGACAAATGACTGCGTCAGCAATTTAAAGATGAATTTTAAAAAATGATTTTCCTAATAGTTCTGTGTGAACATTAGCCAAAGTTTAGCAATGAAAGTTTATGTGCAAATCATTCGAACATAAATGTTTTTCCTTTGGAGAGCCAGGTTCACTCACCAGCAGAGGAACATGGTTCCACACACAGAATGTCAGCAATTTAAATGTTTGCTTCAAAAAGTCACGGATTTTGCTGGAGCTCATGGATCTTCAGGGTTGTAGAAGATGAATACTTGGTGGTG